CAATTGGTGGCTGACTAAATACTTTTTTGCCCCACTGTAAGTACCAGAATAGATACACTAGTTTTAAGAAAACTATAATTATGTATTCATGATATAATAGAAGAGGAGGGGACTGGAAATCAACTCAACTTTCTTTTCTGATAATGCAGGAAATAAATTGTCTGAGCAGTCACTCAAGGTGTTCCTCTCATCTCTGGAAGGCCAGGGTGAAGGTGGACTTCTGCGTCTTTCTCTCAATGTGAGTATCATCATTCTTTTTCCAATCCTTTTTAAAGAGCTTGTTTTGATTTCAACTATGTTTTTCAGAGGAATCAGTTTCCCTCAGATTGTGACACCTTCCTGAAGATACAAGAAATGATGTCCCTCAGGGACCCTCTTAAGAAAAACCTCTCTGGTCAGGTGGAGGATGAACACGGTGAACCCAAGACCACCAATGAAGCCTAACAGAATGACAAGAAGGGTTTAATATTTGCAATTTATATGAAAGATTAATATATGCATTTACTGCCTCAACTCAACCATATCAATAGTTGATGCTTTCATTGTTTGTGTAACTTTTTTATCTTTGCTGTATTGTAATTTTATATATTCACTGATATAATACGTGGAGCAAACAGAGTTCTAGACAAAGGGTTAAATATTAGTTTTGATTTGTTTAACATGTTGGTCACTACAGTAAGTGTTATTTCACTAAGTGTTTTGATCGTTTTTTTAGTAAGCTTTTCCCTTGAAATTTTATTTAGTTGGTCTGGGCTTTTAGGGCAAACGATTGCTGAAAAACCCTGTGTTGTTTTATATGTATGTTTGTTTTTATATGTTTTATATTTGTCTATATTTCTGTTATATGCTAAAAAAATGTTTTACCAATTGGTAATTAGCTTTTTTTTTCTCAAGAATTAGATTAGTTAATATCTTAAAAATGATAATTGTACCACAAGCTACATGTTTATTAAAATAAAGCCTCAAATTCAAGTCCACATAATAAGTATGTTACTCAATTTTTCAT